CTTGGTACATCTTCCTATGAACACTACTTGTCTATTACAAAACATCCTCAGCTCATTTTGTGCTAATTCTGCTTAATGTTGTACCCAGTGAAAATTCAGTACATTTCGATGAATTTGGCGTCTAAATTGAACACTGTTTTGCTACTCTGCTAAACATATAGTAATATAATAATAATGCAAAGTATTGACTTTCTTCGACACCTGACAGAGACTGATCACACAGCGAAGAAATTTCAACAGACACAGTCGGCAGAGTCAATGGCATGGAACCGGTCTTACAGTCATGCTCCATTGACATTGAATGTTAATGAAATATTATTCTAATTGTTTAATCATCTTAGCGCATATTTCTATACGTTCATGTGCATTTTTCCAAAAATAAATTATATTTCGTTAGAGGCAAAATTTAGAATTAGCACAAAACCACGTAAAGAACACACCAGTAAACTCGCGGTGCCTAATAGTTCCCCAAGATTAATATACAGTCACATTTAATTCACTGTGATTGCCTTTTAAAGCTTAGATGAAACCAACCTGAATCACTCAGGAAGATTCGTGAACCAGGAAAATAATTTCCGAAATTATCACTTTTACATGGCTGATTAATCGATGGACAAAAGAAAAGTTATTGGCAAGTTTGATAGTGTAGGAATATCAGACCTGATTGAACAACGCTTATGATTTCCCATTCTGATCACTCTGTACCCAAAACTATGGACCGCTGTAGTGGGAGGAGTCACTCACCTTGCGATTCGCTTAAAATTGACAATTAATTTTAAACATTGCTCTCATTTGTGTTAAATATGTAAATTAAATTTTATTTCCAACTTGTATCCTACATTATTAATACTGTAGCAATTGCTTTAAATTTCGGTTTTAGGCTAATGTTGTGATTTCGTCCTTAAGAATTTCTACGTTTCAATTTGTTTTAATGGTATACCAGATTTTCAGCCCTGTTCAACGACTTAATCTACAGAGTAGTTGCCTGTGATACTGCTGTTCTTGTCTGTTCGAGGGTTGCCAATCAAGTTAAGCTTCAAACACTAGTGTGCGGTGTTTACGCAGAGAATTGCTTGTGGATTATGTCTCGTGAAGACTGTGCACGTTCGAAACCATCACCGTCGATATGTGAGGTCGACAGCTTCCCGTATATCGAAGTCGTAATTTGTTACAAGTCTGATGCAGCGAAAGTCTTGAATTTGCGAGCTCTAAAGTTCATAACTCTCTTGTCGGAAAAAAAATATAGCAGAGACTAAATTAAGGCATAGTTGGGTGTTTCCCGAAAAGAGTCTTAGTTGTAACCATCAAGATAAACCAAAAGTTTAAGGGTTTAATTAACTCGATCCCTAATCCGGTATTGTTCAATCAGTGCGTGAACCATCAATAGTAAAATGGCTTTTCGTTTGTCATAGCTCATTTGTTATTGGAGAAACAATGCTTTGGGTCCAAAGCTCCATTTCCTTAAGGGTTCAGTCTTCGAGTCTATTGTAAGGTATTTAAATGCGACGGTATGAGACGGAACAAAACCGGTTTTGTCTGTTTGATAGTTCTCTTTTGCGCCGGAAACATTATTCTAAGACGTCAGCTTATATGCCTATTTTGTTGACATCGTCTTCTAAGGAATAAGAGCATAGAGAGCAAGTCAGATTTCAATGTCTGCCTGCAAATATTATGATTGTTACTGTAAACCGTTATACAAGTATTTATTTCGCTGTTTGTGTAATTTTGATGCTGGTAGTAGTTCAGCTGCTGTCCCGACTGCATAGAGTAAGCTGATGGCAGCACATGCATCTTCCTTAGAAGCATTCATGATCTTGTATAATCTGAAGACATCTGAATATTTTGAAAGCCTGTCGAAGTAGCCAGTTCCAGCGAACTCGTTTTCAATAAATAAATATGTGTACTGTATTATATTTGACTCGGAAACCACATGAAGCTTTATTAGATGTGTGAAGCATGGCAACTCGTCTCTGATGGGAAATGGTAGAGATTGTGCTACCGTGATTTACTTGTACTTGACCATGAATGACAAGTTACTAACAGATTTCAGGAAAGCTGCGTAAAGCGCTGTATTTTGTTAGGCATTTGACGTCCTGCTGTTCCGAACGAGATCCACATGTATGTATGTATGGTAGGTTGGTAGGAAGGTAGATAGGTAAAAAGGCAGGTAGGAAGGAAGCTAGGTATGTATGTATG